CTGAAGTCAGCCTGACCCCCGCGGCCCTGAGTTTTACCTGCGCGGAGCCGACACCGGTTGCGGCGCCCCCAGTGCTCACAGCTGCCCCCAGACCCCCCGCGAGCTTTTCTGGCTTCTTCTTTCTGACCTTTCACACCAACCCCAACGCTGGGCGACCTCGCTCGTGTAACCGTGTGGATTCTCCGGCCTGTTCCCGGTCCCCTGCTTTGTGACACTTACATGTGCGGCCTTTTTCTTTGTTTCTGCCTAGGGTGCTTCTGAAATATTTTTTAAAAACATTACTGTGACTTTTTAAGACGAGTACAGACTTTGCTAATGCTGCGATCAGCAGTACTTTTCTGTTCAGGCGACACTGAGATTATGTCTAAATGGGAGGGAGACAGGGACTCAGGAGGTAACTACCGCCTCTTGCACGCTCTGTTTTATTTTATTTTTAAAAATATTTTTTATTGATATTTTAGAGAGAGAAGGGAGAGGGAGAGAGAGAGAAACACCGAGGTGAGAATGAGACATCAACCCGCTGCCTCCTGCACGCCCCTCCTGGGGATCGAGCCCGAAATCCAGGCATGTGCCCTGACGGGACTGAACCCGTGACCTTCCAGTGCCGGGATGACGCTCAGCCAGCTGAGCCACACCTGCCGTGGCTAAAAGTTTCATTTTTAACTCGCTGTGTCTGAGGGGCATCGTCGGACGTAAAATATAATTTCAGGCCACAGTGCCGAAGCATGATGTAGGGTGCAGAGGGAACCAGCCGTCCTTTGGCCTGTGTATTTTGCTTTTTACTTTCCTGGATTTATGATACAGACGGAGCCTGGACATTGCTGGCCGCTGAGGCTTTCGGAGCTGGGACGGAGCATCAGCTGTTTCAGACGCGACACGTGGTTTTGGGCCGTTTCCTTCCAGCCATTCTCCCAGGTGTCCAGGTGAACCTGTGTGGCTCCTTCACCATGCACGCGCTTTATTAAGTAGGAAATTTAGGGAAGTTTTCTTGCTGATCATGTTTTTCTTGGTAAAAATCATCTTTCTAATAAAAAATTGTCCTGCCTTCTGGGATAGACCTGGTAATAAGAGCAAAGCCTTGGAAGGATTGATTTTGGCAGAAGGCCACGTAAACATTTCTATTTCTCTGTGTGACTTATGGGCAAGGCTGACAAGTGTTGTTAAAGCAATGATCATAAATAGAGCCTGTGCCAGAGTGTGGGCTCAGCCCTGTGGCTGCCGTGGACTGAGAGGAGCCCTGGGAGAATGCTGGGCCCACGCCAGCGTCGGTGTCGGCGTCGGCGCCGGCACTGGCACCAGCACCAGCACCAGCACCAGCGCCAGCGCCCGAGGCCCAGGACTTGCAGCGACAGGTTTGCACACTGTGTCCCAGAGCTCAAATCTGCCAGTGGACCGAAGCTCTATGATGTTAGGCGAGGCTTTTTAGTTACGGTTTCTTTCTTTTAAGAAAGAGGCTTAATGTGGGTTTATATGCATTTAAAAATCAGGTTAGAACATATTTTTAAAAGCCTGTTTATTTTATTTTTATTTAAAATTTTTTTTGTGTCCTCAGGTGAGGACATTTTTTTCCATTGCTTTTCAGAGAATGGAAAGGGGAGAGAGAGAGAGAGAGAAACATCGATGTGAGAGAGACGCGTCGATTGGCTGCCTCCCGTTCTCGTGTGGGCCGGGGCTGGGATGGAGCCTGCAACCGAGGTACGTGCCCTTGGCTGGAATCGAACCCGGGACCCTTTGGTCCACAGGTTGACGCTCTAACCACTGAGCCAAACTGGCCAGGGCAAGCCTGCATTTATTTTAAAATACACTTGGGGACACCTACATAGGACTGCTGTTCGCTTGTGGTGCTGTAGGGATTTGGGCTGAGTGGCTCATCCATTAATCAGAAGGCGTTTGGCCAGCCTCCCTGGGTCTTGGCTGCTCTCGGCCTTTGGTATTTGCATATAAATTTTATTGTTTATTTATTTTTTTAATGGGCATTTACGTATCAGTTTTAGAATTGACTTATCAAGTTTCACAAAAATGGTTGGGCTTTCCATTGGGGTTAAACTGATAGGTCACTGTGGGGAGCACTTTCCAGTCCGCGAACTTCACTCATCCCCCATTTGTTCTGTCGCTGATGCATTCGATACGGAATTGTGGAGTCTTCCTCCACAAAGGTCGTACACATTTTGTGTATTTATTACTAGATTCATTGCATTGCTGATGTTATTGTAAATTATGTAATGTGTTAAGTCGTATTTAATTTCTAATTGTTTGGTGTATGAGTAGCTAACTTGCTGTGTTTATCTGTCAATTATTTTTTGGAATCTGAATGTACATAATCCTATCATTTTAAACGAGTTATTTCCTTCATTGCCAGTTCTTTTATTTATTTTCCCTTTTCCACTCCCTGGGACCTACAGGAAAGCGTCGAGCGCAAGTGCCAGCGGTGGCATCCCTCCCCTTCCCAGTTTCAGTATTTCCCATCAAGAAGGGCGTCTTTCATTTCTGGTGGATCTCCTTTGTCAGAATAGGAAGCTCCCTTCTAGTCTCAGTATTTTTTTTTTTTAAATCAAGGAATGGGTTTTGAATTTTATCAAATACTTTGTATGCATCTGAGTCGATCGTTTGTTTCTTTCTCTTTTAATCTGCTAACGTGTTGATGATCTTAATTTTTTTCCCACGTTAAAATCAGTGGGGCATTCCTGGAATAAAGAAAACGCTGTTCTTTCTATACACTGCTGGCCGTCGTTCGCAAGCATCAGGCTTTGTCTGAAAGCTCGCTTCTCCCTTTGGTGTATCCTCTGGGACGCTGACAGACGCAGGCCCCTAACCGCGCACCCCTTCTGCAGTCAAACCTCCACCTCTGCCCCTCGCAGCAGCCGGCCTGCGGCCCTTTCCAGAACGCCCTGGAGGTGGAGTCCTTCCCAGTGTAGCTGTTCAAACGCGACTTCCCTTAGCATAAGGCATGGAGGGTTTCTCTACGCTGTGCGTATTGGTCATTCGTTTTTATTTTTTTTGTCGCCAAGTATGGAGCAGCCTGGCTTATCTGCACGTTTGGTGGCTGGTGGATGGATTTTCCGTATCCGTTCGCAGGTGGGTGTTTGGGTGCAGGCTCTCGTTTGGTTCCGGGGATACCGAGGAGCAGGGTTGCCGGGCCACACTGTCAGTCTGTTTGTACGTAAGAAACTGCCGGGTTGTTTCCCAAGGTCTCGGGTCCTTTGGCACAGGGGTGTTCAGCTTGCCCGTGTCTTCCTGGGTTTGGTAGTGCAGGAGAGGCCACACCTTCCCTGACCCGGCTGTGGGCTTCAGCTGGGGCCCTTCACGCAAAGTCAGATGGACGAGAGACCCAGGTGATTAACCCTGCAGAGCCCATCCTGGGAGAGAAAGCTCAGTGAGAGAATTCCCAGTGGTGGCTTAGAATCGCCCGCTTATGTGGCATCTCCAAAGGGCAATAGTTTGTAGAGAAAGGGAGGGAGTCTTCGGCTTCTAAGGGCAGCAAACTGTGGGCAGGAAAAAAACCTGGGAGGAGACCAGTGAGATAAGGTTGTTTACCGATCCCTCTGGTGCCGTCTCTGGGCTGATAAGAGTAGTTTCCAGTAAAAGAAGAATTTATATCTTGCCTTTGGGCGAACAAGGGGGAGGTAGAGAGCTTTCCCTGCGTTTGCTGCTGCTGAATTACCTGCAGTTGAAAATGACTTTTATGTCAGAGGCGTGTTTTGGGTGACATTCTGGTTTCCCGGGAATTGCTGGGCTATCTGATTTGTGGAATTCGTAAGTCGTCCGTGTAGGATCCCTCATCGGCTTCCTAGTGTCTGTAAGGTCTGTACTGATGTTCCCGTTTTCGTTCCTGGTCCCGGGAACTTGGGTTTCTCCCTTTTTTCTTGGTCAGTCTGACTGGAGGTTTATTATTATTATTGTTATTATTATTATTATATTTTTAGAGAGAGAGGAAGGGAGAGAGAGAAACATCAGTGAGAGAGAAACATCAATCGGCTGCCGCTTGCACGCCCCCTACTGGCGATCGAGCCTGAAACCGGGGGCATGTGTCCTGACTGGGAATCGAGCCGAGACCTCCAGGTCCCTGGGACAATGCTTGGCCACTGAGCCACACCAGCCAGGCCGGGGAGACACGGTGTGATCCCTGAGCAGCTGTAATGCCGCACTCAGCCCGTCTCTCTTCCTCTGGAAACGGAATGAACCCTGTGTTATTCTCTTTCAGAACTCACACCATCCTCACGGCCTCACCCGCCTGTTGTGGCCAAAGTGACCCATCACAGCATCGAATTACACTGGGACCTGGAGAGGAAGGCGAAGCGGCAGGGGCCTCAGGAGCAGTGGGCCCAGTTCTCGATCGAAGAGGAAGACCCCAAGACGCACACCTACGGTATCATTTATACGTAGGTGCCCGGCGGCCGGCGCAGTGTGCCCCTTCGCCTTCCCGGTTAGCTGGGATGGCTTCCGCTGCCCTGGAAAGGCTCGTTTCGAGAGGAAAGGAAAGAAAGAGCCGGCAGCATCATTTGCGTTCGCGCTTTTCATGAATCATAATTTTTGGAAAATAGCGTTAGCAGTAACTCTGGAATTAACGCCCCTGAACCTCTGGGGGCTCCCTAGGCTTCTGGAATATTCTAATGGTATGTTTTAAAATTCCAAAATGTAAAAATCCCAAAGAGCCACAGGAGAGCTTGATGAAATCAGACGAGGTTCCCGTCAGACCGTTCCATCCGCAGTTGTGGGCTGGGGTCCCCCAGGCCTCCCCGGGACAGCCTGTCGACCTCACGTCGCACCACATTCCCCTGCCAACTCTTTCCAACCAACCCCTGCCTTTACGCCTCAGCCCGGCCGCCCTGGGCCCACGTCAGCACCTCCCTCGTCGCCTTGCCTTGAACATGTTTCCCTCTGGTTTTATACGGTGGGTTCCCATCGGATGAAACATCCCCTCCTCAAAAGGCCGTCGCCAGGAGCGTCCTGCCGCCCAGGGCCTTGGGGCACGTGCCTCCTGACGCTTGGCTCTGCTGGGACGATTTCCCGGTTTGCTCTCCGTCCCCCCAGCAGCATTCACGCTCCGCGGCAGGCAGGCGTGATCCCTGCTGGCCTAGTGCTCTCGCCCCAGCTCCCGGACCCCGCCCGCGCGTCAAACTTGTTGCACAAATGAAAACTCAACAAGAGTGACTGAGGGGTCACCTTTTCTTAGTCTTTGCTCCAACCCTCATCTCTCCCCTTTGACAGGTTTATTGCTGAATGAGACCGCGTTTCAGGAACACCGAAAGCGAGATACGAACATGGTCTTAAATTAGACTTTTAATTATAGGCTCGTTTCTGGCTGTGAGAAATAAATGGGAGATCCTGCGCACCTCCCCCCGTTTTCCCCGGGAGGAACCGTCCTTCGTACCTAGAAAGGAAACACGGCATTTGTCGGACGTGTAGCTGCCACACGAGAATAACTCGTGGCCTGACTACTCGAAAACGCTGTGCTCGCCACGTCGCGCCATCTGTTGTTCCGCTGGGCGGTTCCCACCGAAGCGTGAGAGTGATGATGTTGTATTTCTGTGGGGAAAGGAAAACGCGTCCTTTCTTTCCCCCGCCCTCGTCCCGGAAGCTGTCTGTCAAAGGATGCCGCCCCGGATCCCCGTTTATGTCGTCTTTGCTGGGCGGCCAGGCGGACGGCCCGGTGGACGGCCTCCCCCGGAGAGGCCCAGCCGAGCGCGCTGGCCTCCAGCCGCCGGGGCTGCGTCGCTGCGTTTCCCCAGAGGCGCGAGCCCTGTCTGCGGGGAGGCGCCTGGATGCTGACCGGGCGTGTGGGGCGGAGGCCGCGGACCCTCGGACCCCAGCGCCAGGTGCACCTGGGAAACGCTGGTGTCGGCTCAGAGCATCGGCGACACCGACCGGTCACTAGGTGGCAGAAGGAGACTGGGTTAGTCCTGCCCCTTGCTCAGGTCCTTAAAACCAGCAAGTGCTTTACAGCCGCGATCGTCTCGGATGCTTGACCCTGGGACGGTCCATTTAAGAGCCTCCTCCTGACTCGTCGGTTTCTGCTGGGGTCGCGGGCCGGCCGGTCTCGAACCCGCGGCGCCATCCTCGGCTCGGGCTCTCCTCCCGGCCGGGTGTCTGGCTGGTGAGCTATCCCTTCGCAGGTCCCTCTGTGCCCCTCCGACGGCGGCTTTCCCCCCACGGGACCGGCTCCTGTTCTGACTCCCCCTTGCCGGGCCCCGGGTCCCACCGCCCAGCTGCTGGCTGGCCGGCCCGAGTGCCTTGTCCCTGTTTTCTTGCCTTTTATCGTTTGTCCGATCCCGCGACCGGAACTTTCTGTTTCCTCTCCCTTCGCCGGCTTGTCCTCAATGGGTCCAGCTCCTTAGACCAACACCCACGGCCCTTGGCGGTCCGCCCACAACCCGCTTTCCAGTCCCTCACTTCTGAGCAGGACCCTCCAGAGAGAACCCCTTCCCTCCCGTGGCCGTGCCCAGCTGTTTCCCCTGTTTGGACGAACGTGCCCCTGCCCCACCCTCGGTTCCGCTCAAGTCGGGTCCACCTCGCCGGCCTCCCCCCTAGATTCCTGCGACAGCTGGTGCCCACCTCCCACACTCCGTCCCCTCATTCGGCGCGTGCCGAGCTCTGTCTGGGTGCTGGGCCCATAGCACTGGACAGACAAACACCCCCCCCCGAGAGACCCTATGTGAAAGCCACACACGCTGTCGGGCGGCCTGTCTTCTCTNAACACCCCCCCCCTGAGAGACCCTATGTGAAAGCCACACACGCTGTCGGGCGGCCTGTCTTCTCTCAAACGTGACCCTTCGTTAGGTGGGGACCGCGTCACGGGGGAGCATGACCGGTTCTCCAGTCTGACATCGTGCGCCCGCTGAGTGTCCACACCGGGCACAGGGCACGTGCTGGCAGGCGTGGGGGTGCCACGCGTGGCTCGGCCCTTTCGCTCGAGGGCCTCCCGGTCCAGCCTGGGAGGTGACAGCAGCCAGGGTCAGACCTTCCCGGAATGGGCAGCATTCAGAATGCCCCCCCCCGTCACCCCCGGTCACCGTCAGAAAGCACCGACCCAGTCACCCCGTGTCCTGTCTCCCCCCAGGGGATACGCCACCAAGCACGTCGTGGAGGGTCTGGAGCCACGGACCCTGTACAGATTCCGCCTGAAGGTCAGCAGCCCCTCCGGAGAGTATGCGTACAGCCCCGTGGCCTCGGCGTCCACGACCAGTGAGTATGCACACGCTCCCGGCTCCCGCACCTGGCGCCCGCGACGACAGCCGGCCGGGCGGAGCACCCTGCCTGCCCCTCCCCGAGACGGCAGTGCCCGGGCGCGGCCTGGGCGTCGCCTCGGGACGTCCGACCGTCTGACCAGCCGGAGCGGGTTCTGTGCCAGCGCTGCCCTGGGCGCCCCCGGGTACAAAAGGGCGGGGCACCTTTCTCAGGAAATGGGCGGAGAGCCGCGGCCGAGCTCCGTCCCCGCAGGACCCAGGCTGCCTGTGGCGCGTCCTCAGGTGAGGGCCCTCAGTGCCTCGTCCCTTTCGGACAACTTCAGTGTGCGCCTCTTTTTTTTTTTTTTAATTTNTGGAAGTAGCACAGTCCCCGTCAGTGGGCGCCTGGAGCGCCACACAGCTGGCCCTGGGTGCTGAGTCAGGGGAAAGCCCAGCGCTGCTTCCGCCCACAGGGCCAGGGAGGGGCGTCCCCACCTCCGCCGTTCCCGGGCGAGCAGGGTGCCAGGGTTCCCTGGTCGGTATTTTGGAACATCTCAGAGACGTGGGCAACCAGTGCCACTCTTTTTTAATCTTTACCCGAGGATATTTTTTCCATTGCTTTTCAGAGACAGTGGAAGGGAGAGAGGGAGGGAGGGAGAGGAACCGGAGCCCCAGTGCCCCCTGCTTCCCTCACTGCCACGTCCACGCGGAGTTGGGCACCGTTGGAGCTCTTGAGGGACGCAGAACCACTGTCCGCTCCGTCTGTCCGCTGACGGGCTGCGGGGCGGGGGGACGGACAGGTGGGCCTTCTCCATGCCAGGCTGGCTTCCGACGGGCCCAGGGTTGGGGCATTTGTCGCCGCAGTCCCTGGCTTCCATGGGCCGTCAGACAGGACCTGCTGCAGGGACACGGCGAGGCGGGGCCTTGGCTCCTGCTGATGACCCCGGGGCCTCCTGAGTGGTTCACTGTCGGTCACAGCTCAGGTGACGCGCGCCCGGCCTCCGGCCCTCCCGGGAGTCGGACCAGGTGGCCCTTCCCTCCGCTGGCGGCCGCTCCCCTGGCTATTGTCATCGTCATAAGGTGCGGGGCGGACTCTCCTAAGGAGACGGCTCAGGCTAAAGACGGATTAGAAGTGGGCTCCTCGTGCAAAGCCCGGGAGAAGGCTCCCGTGGGCTGGGACTGCGCTCGGCCTGGCCGGCTTTAACGAATCCGAGGCAGGTCCTCCGCCTGAGCGGGGATGCCCGGCCCCTTTCCAGGTGAAGTGCGGAGACTCGTGCCGTTTTAATCAGCTGGCCCTTAAAGAGAGAAACAGCTGCCGCTTGTTAATCGGCAAATCTCCTTTCCGGCGAGCTCATCGCTTATTCACGGCTTTTAGTGGAGACGCAGCTTCCACCAGGCAGGGTGCCCTCGCCCCGCAGCAACCCGGTGGTGGTAACTTCTCAGCGACCCTCTTACGGGACCCGAGCGGTGGCCCCTCCGGAGACCACTCTGCCCTGCCCTCTCCCAGGAGGTGTCCCCCGAGCCCCACCCCCGTGGTCCTGCCTGACCCTGCCTGGAGCCCCCGTGGACGCCTCCTCCCCACGGGCCGCCTCCATTCAGTATTTGTCGTTGCCGCCCTCGGGGTGCACAGTAGGAAAAGGCACCGCCTGCCTGCTTTATGTTCAGTCGCTCGCATCGATTGATGGCCATCCCTTGGGCCGGGCCCACAGAGTCTCAAGGGACTCGGGGGCGGGAGGGAGGAGCGTTTGGCTCGCGCTGGAATTTCCTGTCTGCTCTTCCGGCCTCGCGCCTCGCGCCTCGCGCGGGGAGTAGGCGGCCCCCTCGGCAAACACGGCCCTTTCCCTCCTGCGTCTCCCGCACGTGCACGTGAACGCCGGGCTTTCCTCGGTCAGCCACGCCTGGCCTGGCCTGGCTCCCACCCCCCTGCCGTCTCCGTGGCTGCGAGGGTTCCGGAGCCCGCGCTGAGAACCAGCCGTCCATCACGCCCCGGGTGCAGTTATTGCTGCTTTTTGCTGGAGCTCAGCAGGCGAGGGTGACGAACAGCTATGCCGCCTCCCTCCTCCTGGGGGTGTCCCTTTGTTCCCAGAATAAGTAACCGGAGCGCTGATCACCTCTCTCGGGAGCCGGACTAGTAAATTATGACCTAATAGCAGAGGGCCCTGCCCCGGGCCACGCACCGTCCTCAGCCACTCAGCGCAACACGACCGACCCTGTTTCGTTTGCCGCTACTTGTGCGCCGCGGGGCTCCCTGGCGGGACGCACCAGCAGCCGACCCCCCTGGGAGGGCCGCGAGGCTCGGCCGGGCAGGCGGATGCGGGGGCTCCGAGGGGTCAGCGCACAGTGCCCGGGGCGCTGCGTGTGCTTTCTCAGGTTTCTGTAAAAGCTCAAGAAGCCAGCACTTCTCTGAAGCTTTTAGGCTGTGGGAGTCCCTCTCATTCAACACTTTGCGGGGGTGCCGGCATATCTACTTATTTGGGGTGCCTGCCGTATTCAAAACTTAGCACAAATGGATGCGTGCAGGGAATCGATCGCTATCTTGACACGCATTAAACACCCGGGGGGACCCGTGGCCTGCCGAGACCCTCCTTGAGCTCCTGAGCGGCCGACTCCTGCCGGGGACGGGGGACGACCGGCTCGGCCTTCCCGGCTCTCAGGGTTGTGGTCGGCATGAGGATCTAAAAGGCATTGCCCGAGGCCCTAGGTACAGCGAAATTAATGGGACTTCGGTTAGGACACCGCATTTAAAATTTGGTAGCAATGGAACGAACTTCCTACGTTCTAGACGAGTCTGCAAATTACTTGTCTCTGTGTTTTTCGTGGCAGTTGAAGTTTGAGTCTCAGAAGTGGGGCTGTCTGGTGAGACGAGACCGTCCCACGCTCCGCCCTCCCTCCTTGCTGCTTTTTGCTGGGAGGCGAGAGGGGAGGGAGACTTCCCAGGGGTGTCCTTTGTCCAGGGGAGTCTGGGCGGGTCGCCTGGCAGATCGTCCTGAGTCCACGCTCCTCCGGCCCGGGGTCTCTGCCCCTCCGCACGTGGACGCTGGGGGCCTGGGCGATTCCTGGCTGTGGGGTCATCCCGTGCACCAACCCTTAAGCTGCGACAACCAAAAATGTCCTCAGATTTTACCAAATGTCCTTTGGGGGCAAAGCCCTGACCCCTTCCCTAGCCGCGCAGCGGGACCGCCGGGCCGGGCGCGACCTCCTGGGAGGGCCGGGGCTGTGTGGGCATCGCCCTCTGACAGTTCATCGTGATGTTTTTATTTAAAGCTTTTGGTCTAAAAGTATGTGTGGAACGATGGAAAGGAAATATAAAGTGGCTAAAGCATCTTCAGGATTTGCTCTAGCAGACAAAATTGTTATTTTAAAACATTTTTAACTTGGCTTAACTTAATTTTTTTCCAAGAAGGAGAAAGGTTATCGGCTAAAGGCTGCTCTGACAGCGACCCCCATTCCCCTGCCCCCCACAC